AGCCGGGGGAAAGAAAGACCCAATAGGCCCTGATCGCCAGCCAGGCCTTAGGACCCTACCCGAGGGGTCCTAGATTTCAAGAGGGTGCAGGCCAGGCTGAGGGACACCACCACCACCCAGCGGTGCACAAATTTCGTGCACCGGGCCTTTAGTGGATTTATAAAAATCTTACTACCCTCTAAACTGTGTAACAATTAGGACCCATAGCAACAACAGTGTTTGGCACTGATCTTACATAAATTAAATCTTACATAGTTAATTAACTATGTCTTTTCATAAAAAGTTAACTACAGAAGATATTTATCTTGCCTTCCCTAGAAAAGCATAAAATATCTCAACATAAAACACATATTCTATTATTTTTATATTGCCCACAGAATTTGGCACAATGCATGCACAGAACAGGCACAGAGTAAATATCAGTAGAAGTAGTTAATGCAACCCACACACAGCTGATGGCTTGTTTGCTAGCTCAGAATATGTTAAAGGGAAACATATATTATAATCATGAGGCTTTTTTAGACTTTTTAAGCATGATCAACACATACGAGAACAAAATATGTTTCCTGATTTAATTTTCAGATATACTACAAAAATGTCTATTCTCAAGAGATGAATACATTCCTACCCATAATTGAAATCACTGACAGACCAAAGCATAAGAGAATGATGAGGGGCAGGGGAATTTAAGAGTTCTCCCTCTCTCTAATCTGGAAGTAATTAACAAGAAATTCAAAGGAAGTTCACATTTTACTTTAGCAATGTCTTGAATACACTGATCCTTCAGTGCAACCTTGAATTTGGAATGTGGTTCAATTCAATGTTAACTCAGTGCCTTCTATCTTTATATAAATCCCGCCATCTCTTGCAGCATTTCTAATATCTACATTCACCATATAAAACTTTTTACTCTTCACTTCTCTCTTTCATGTGTATAATATATATTAGCTTCAGCACAGGCTACAAGTTCTTTCTTATGAAGCATGGATTTTGAATTCTACTTTTTCTGGTATCTGGTAAAATGTTTTGTACATAGTAGACCCTCAAATATTTGTTCTGATTGAACAAGTAAACTTAGAGTATATACTCCTGGATGGGAACTAATCTAGCTGAATCTGTGACCACCACATACTAAGTGCCTACTTCCACCAGGCACTTTACACATATCACTTCAACTGCATCGCGACCCTTTGTAATAAGTATAGTGTCTCTTTTACAAATTGGGAAACTGAGGCTTTAAAGAGGTTAAGAAAATTTCCCAAGACCCTAGTTAGTAAGAAGTGAAATGTGACCTAAATTCAGTCTGATTCCTATCTTTCCATTAAGCCGTGTCACTTCTCTAAAATAAGTGAGCTTCAGAACCTTGGTTGAGGGGCATAGTAGGATATTGACATGACTTCTCAAATTTTAGTAAAAGAATAAAGTAGGTTTAGATCAGTAGAATGGCAATTTTTTTAATTTATAGCAAATGCCAAGGGCTATCAACCTTTTACAAATGATGCATTCTTCATTTACTTCTGGGAGTGCTTCGAACAGAAGGTATTAAATCTATTGCCTATGTGTTAGTCCCTGACTTGACTTCTGATTTCTGAGCAAGTATGTGAGATTAAGCTTTAACCTCCAGCTTGTAAACAGGGGTGGGAAGAGAGGGGTGTTTCACAAAATATACTGGATGCCAACTCTCAGACCAGTAGGTAGAGAAGTATACTGACAGTAACTGATTGGAACATGCTATACCTCAATCACTCAGTATAAAAACACAATATTATACTCACTTTTAAAAATAGATTCATATACTAGGATACTAGCAAGAATCTCTTGCTTATTTCTGTTAAAACTATTGGCCTGGTGCACGGATTTGTGCACATTGAAAGGAAATTAATTAGAAGAAAGATTCGTGCGGTAATTACATTACTGCAAAAATTACATGTCAAAATAGTATATATAATATAGTGTTATAAAATTAAAACACACATGCGATTGGCACCAGTGAGCTATATATGTATTACTCATGCACGAGTCGTTTATTTTTAAACTGCCAGTGTGTGTTATATGTACCGGTCAGACGGACATAAGGTTGGTCACTTAGCCTTTTGTATATATAGACTAGAGGCCTGGTGGATGAAATTTGTGCACGGGTAGGGTCCCTAGGCCTGGCCCGCGATCAGGGCTGATCTGTGAGGCTACCAGTGGGGCAATCGGGGGGTGGGGGGGGCCGCTGGCACCTGCTTTGACTGGCCTGGGGGCAGGCAGCTCCTGCATTGAGCATCTGCCCCCTGGTGGTCAGTACACATCATAGCAACCAATTGTTCAGCCGGTAGTTCCACCATTCTGTTGATTTGCATATTAGGCTTTTATTATATAGGATTTGTCAAGCTCCTCCACTTGCTAAGTAGAGATTATGCTAAATCCAAAGGCAAAAATATAAAAAGTGCTCATTTGGCCTTTTTACTCAAGGTCAAAGAGTTTCTTTGGCTGGTAAAGTTAACCAAGAAATGCTTAGTCAGCACCTGATATATCCAGCGGCAGTCATGAACTGCCTGGAGGAAAGTAATATATAACACCAGAAACACCAACCATAAAGAAACAAATTGATAACATAGACTTCATCAAAATTAAACACTTTTGCTCCTCAAAACAGTTAAGAAAATAAAAAGATGAACTACAGACTGGGAGAAAAACATTTGGAAAGCATTTATCTGATATAGGATTTATATCCAGAAAGCATAGAGAACTTTCTAAACTGAATAATAAAAATAAACAACCTGATTTCTTTAAAATATATTTTTATTGATTTCAGAGAGGAAGAGAGAGGGAGAGAGAGATAGAAACATCAATGATAAGAGAGAATCATCCTGCACACTCCCCACTGGGGATCAAGCCGCAACCTGAACATATGCCCTAGACCAAAATTGAACCCAGCACCCTTCAGTCCGCAGGCTGACGCTCTATCCACTGAGCCAAACTGGCTAGGGCACAACCTGATTTTTTTAAAAGGCAAAAGATCTGTTAAAGACACTTCATCAATGAAGATATATGGATGACAAATAAACACATGCAAGGATGCTCAAATTATTAGGCACTGTGGAAATGGAAATTAAAACCACAAGATATCACTACGCACTTACTACAGCAGGTATCATACCAAGTATTATTCAGGATGTGGAGGAACTGGAACTCTGATACATAGCTAGTGGGAATATAAAATAGCACAACACTATGGAAAACAGTTTGGTAATTTCTTAAAAGTTAAACTACACCGACCCTATGATCCATCTATTCCATCCTTAGATTTACCCATTATAAATGAAAAAAGATGTTCATACAGACTTATACATAAATATCCATAGTAGCTTTATTTCTAATAACCCAAACAAAAAACCCAAATGTCCATCAATAGGTAAACAAACTATTGTACATCCATACAACGGAATGCCACTTAGCAATAGAAAGCGAATGATTAATACATACAGCAACATGGATACATCTTAAAATAATTATACTGAGTAAAAGAAGCCAGGAAAGAGAGTACATACTGTATGATTCCATTTATAGAAAATTCTAGGAAATATAAACTAATGCATAGTGACAGAGCAAATCGGTACTTGTCTGGGGATGGGGTAAGGGAACAGTGGGCAGGAGAGAAAGACTGAAAAGGGGAATGAAAAAACTTTTTGGTGTGATGGGAATCATTATCTTGACTGTGGTGATGGTTTCATGAATGTATACGTGTGTCAAACATCAATTTATTAACTTTAAATATAAGAAATATAAGCAGTTCTTGTATGCCAATTATTCCTCAATAAAGTTTTTAATTGCAAAACTTTTTGAAAAAAATGCTGAGTGATGGCCCTAGCCAGTTTGGCTGAGTGGATAGAGCTTCGCCTGCAGACTGAATGGTCCCAGGTTCGATTCAGGACAAAGGTACATGCCCGGGTTGCAGTCTAGATCCCCAGTAGGGGGTGTGCAGGAGGCAGCCAATCAATGATTCTCTTTCATCATTGATGTTTCTATCTCTCCCTGTCCCTTCCTCTCTGAAATCAATAAAAATGTTATAAAAAAAAAATTGCTGAGTGATGAATATGCATGTCATTTCCTCACAGGAAAAAAAAATGTGGCATCATGTTTAAGAGATAAACATGGGCAAAGGATCTGAACTGATAGGTCTCTAAGAAAGATATACAAATGGTCAGTAGACACATGAAAAGATGTTCAACATCCTTAGTCATCAGGGCAATGGAAATCAAAACAATAATGAGATACCACTGAAATGGCTAAAGTCAAAAAGTCAGGTAGTGACAAGTTTTGGTGAGAAAGTGATGAAATTGGTAGGAATGCAGAATAGTGCAACTCCTTAGAAAACAGCCTGAAGTTTTTCAGTTAAGCATAATCCTATATAATAAAAGGCTAAATGCAATGGTCCCCTCAGGAGTTCGACTGCTTGCTATGACGTGCGCTAACCACCATGGGGTGAAGTGAAACATGGCAGGCAACCAGCGGTGGCGGCGGGGTGCTGAGGGAGTGAGGGAAGGAAAAGGCGGGGAGGCCAGGAGGCGGGGAACTTGATCAGCCCTGATCATGGGCCAGGCCTAGGGACCCTGCCCATGCACGATTTTTGTGCACTGGGCCTCTAGTGTTATCATATGATGCAGCAATTCCTAAGAGAGATGAAAGCAAATTTTTACACAGAAACTAATACAAGATGTGTATTTGGTAGTGAGAAAGGGGTGGGTATTACAGAACTCTCTGTACCTCCCCATCAGCTTTTCTGTAAATCTAAAAGGATCTAAAATATTAGATAACAATATTATGGCATGTGGGAAGATGAAAGTTAAAACATTCTAAGATTCTGATGGGAGAAAGAGATGTTGATTATCTTTAGACTTTGAGTCAAATAATATATGTGAAAAATTTAACAGAAACCACTAACTGAAAAGATTAAGTAAAACAAATTTATTTTTTACAAAGCAAATGTATATTTTTTAACTGCGGTGGCTTACCTGAGACTCCAGAGCCTCCAACTTACGTTTCCTTGCATGAAGGGCTTTACTGGGAAAAGCCCAATAATAATTAGAGGTTCCAATCCTCTCACAGTCAACCATACCATCATCAACTAAGCTTTGAAGAACGTCTTTCACTGACATAGCAGCTAAAAGATATAATTTTTAAAGATATATCATAAATAAAATGAAAAGGCCAATAAGTGGGGAAATGCAACAAATTTATAGGTCAAGAGTTAATAATTTAATAAATAAGGAGCTTTCAAAAATAGTAACAAAAAAGCCCAATACTGCAACAGAAAAACAAAAGTATATCAATGGGCATCTATAAAATATACATGGTCAATAAACCAGAAAATGTTGAACCACATTAATAATTAAAGAAGTAAAATAAAGCAATGAGAGTTAATATTTTGACTCTCAAATTAAAAACACTAAAAAAAATAAAGGGTTCAGGAAAATGGGTACTCTCAACATGGGTACCCTCAGCAGCATGTATCTAAAGCTTTAGGTTTATGCAGGCCTTTTGTGTAGAAATTCCACTTTTATAAATTCAGCCAAAGAAAATAATGATGGATATACATAAGGATGCCTGTCAAAGCAGTTTTCAATAGTAAAAAGTTGGGAACCAGTCCAATAACAGGACTTTTAAAAGTATTTTATTGTAATTGAATATATGCAATCATTGAAGTTATGTTATAAAATATTTAATGCCATGGTATATATACATTCAAAATGTGTAATACAGAATGTATTATGTTAAAAATAAATTTAAAAGACAGTATACACTAATGTGACAGTCGTTATTTTGAGTAACGGGTTAAGAGGCAATTTTTCTTTCTTTCTTTTTACTCATTTTTCTTTTTCCGACAATAAACATATATTGCCATTTTTGCTAAGAAAACAAAAATAAAACTATTATGAAAAATAAATCCTATATAATAAAAGGGTAATATGCAAATTGACCCTAACAGCAGAAAGACTGGGAATGACTGGTCACTAGACACACACTGATCACCAGGGGGCAGAAGCTCAGTGCAGGAGCTGCCCCCTGGTGGTCAGTGCCCTCCCACAGGGGGAGCTCTGCTCAGCCACAAGCCAGGCTGATGGCTGCCAGCACAGCGGTGGTGGCGGGAGCCTCTCCCGCCTCCTCAGCAGCGCTAAGGATGTCCAACTGCAGCTTAGGCCTGCTCCCCGCTGGCAAGCGGACATCCCCCGAGGGCTCCCGGGCTGCCAGAGGGATGTCTGACTGCCAGCTCAGGCCTGATCCCCTGGGGAGCAGGCCTAAGCCAGCAGGTGGACATCCCCTGAGGGGTCCCAGAATGCGAGAGGGCACTGGCTGGGCCGAGGGACACCCCCAAGTGCACAAATTTTTGTGCACGAGGGCTCTAGTAATAAATAAAAAATAAACTGAACAAGTTTAAAAATCAGAAAAACATTTTAAAAAATAGCATGTAAAAAATACAAAGCCATAATGATAGATCCGTATCATTATACATTTGTCCAAACCCATAGAATGTACAACACCAAGCGTGAACCCTAATGTAAACAATGGACTTTGGGTGATTATGATGTGTCGATGCAGGTTCATCAATTGTAATAAATGTACCACTGTTCAGTGATGTTGCTAACAGAAGCTATGCATGTTGGGAGTTTGAGACAGGAAATATATATGAAATCTCTGTACCTTCCTCTCAATCTTTCTGTGAACCTAAAACTACTCTAAAAAGTCTTTTAGAAAAAAATTTATGGATTGCATGTTAATTGCACATTAAATTTAGCAGCAAAATTTGGGAACAACGTAGATGTTCAACAATGTGTAACAGGCTAAGCAAATCATGGCATGGTAGGTAGTCATAGAATTAAACATTAAGAGACGCAGGTGCTGTACATAATTTTCTTAAAAGCACATGACATAAGTAAATGTGAATGATATGTTATATGAAAAAAAAAAGACATGAACACAAAACTGTATATGCAGCATAGTTCTTTCTCAGAGAAATGGACAGATACATACATACAAAGACAAACAGAACCTAAAAATAATTCATCAAAATACACCAAAATGTTTAACAGTGATGTTCTCATGAACAACTTTTATTTTCAGTATAGTCTTTATAATTTCCAAATCTGTTAAAATAAGCATGTAGTTTATGTAATCAGAAAGTAAGGTTCAAAAAAATATGTATCCAGTGCGGCTGGCGTGGTTCAGTGGTTAAGCATTGACCTATGAGCTAGGAAGTCATGGTCCGATTCCTGGTCAGGGCATATGCCCGGTTGTGGGGCGTGCAGGAGGCAGCTGATCAATGATTCTCTCTCATCATTGCTGTTTCTATCTCCCTGCCTCTCCCTTCCTCTCTGAAATCTATAAAAAATATATTTAAAAATAAAAAATAAAAAAATATGTATCCTATGTAGTGGATTTAACAGTGACCATTCAAAAGATAACCCCCAGAACCTGTGAATGTGACCACATTTGAAAAAGCATCTGTACAGGTATAATTAAGGATCTCCAGATGAAATCATCCTGGATTTTGGCTGGGTCACAAATTCAATGGAATGCGTCCTTGTAAGAGACAGAAGGGGAGATAACAAAGGGGAAGGCCATGTGAAGACAGAGGCAGAGATGAGAATGATGTGTCTGTAAGTCAAGCACTGCTGGCAGCCACCAGAAGGTAGGAGAGAAACATGAAATGGATTCTCCTTCTGAGCCTCCAAAAGTAGCCAACTCTGTTGACACCTTCATTTTTGACTTCTGGTCTCCAGAACTAAGAGAATAAATTTCTACTGTGTCAAGTACCAAGTTTGTGGTAATTTGCTGCTACAGAAAATGAAGACACCAGGTAAAGACAAAATGTAACATTTAACAAATATTAAAACATACATGAACAGTTTTTACTCCTTTTGAAGTAAATTATGCCCATAAGTAGATAAATGTGTATATTTGCATGTATGTATATATGTGTGTACATGGACATACATGCATACTCCATTTTAATTTTCCTAGAGCAGATACTCCAAACACAGGAATCATGGCCATGGCCCAAAGACATCATGTAAAGACTTTATGAGCGGGGGGAGGAAGAAGTAAAGAGGCAGAGCACAGAGGATTTTTAGGGCAGTGAAAACACTCTGCATAATACCATAACGATGGATCTGTGTCATTTATACATTTGTTTAATGTATATATTACACATTATACATTTACAAACATTCATCTCTAGAAATTTGTTCCCATAAAGTGAAAGACTGTAGCAGAAAAGAGGACCAATATTTCCCTACATATTTTGGCACATCTTTGATACTTACTAATGCCTTTCTCTTTAGGAGCAATCTTCTCCATGTCTTTTAATTGAAATACATCTTTCTGTTTTTAAAAAAAATTTAAAAAGAAATGAAAAACATGTATTTATTTTCTACTATATACTTATATTTACCATAATTCTGTTCATACATAAAACACTGTACTAAAAAACTATACCTGGAAATGAACAATGCAACAGAATCAAGCATTTTGGAGCCAGAAGAAACTGCAATTATCTTGTTTAATACCATAGAAGTTAAAATGAACAGGTTTTGCATGAACATACAAATCTTAAAGTAACTGGAGAACAGCTTCCCACTGAAGTATAAAAACTAGTTACAATGAATCATTTGTTAACACGAGATAATCTAGCTTCTTTGACACTGATTTTAAGAAAACACAAACAGTATTTTGCTTAGCATATATCATACATTACAGATTTAACAGTTCCAACTAAAAACAAAACAGCCAACTGTCAAGAATTGTTTATATTTAGTTTCATGGAAGAGCTACACTTAAAAAATAGGAAAATTATATATTCATGGCTGCCTATCAATCATTTTTATACATGTTGTATGTCCACCAAATTAAATTATGGGAACCTATATATGTAGAATATTTAATCTTACAGTTACTCCTTTCTTTTTGTAATAAGCTTTGGTTAAAGTGATGAAAAAAACTTGGATAACCAAAATAAAATAAGATGGAAGTACTCAGCAATTAGAAGATAATTATTGTGATAATTGTTTTGAAATCCGGGATCTACTTATTCTAAAATGAACTTGAAAAGGCAACTTCAATATGATGAAAATTAGACTTCCTAAAAATTTAAAACTTCTGCTCATCCAAGGCTACTATTAAGAAATTGAAAACACAAATACTGATTAGAAGACAATATTCATAAAACATATACCTGACAAAAGACTGGTACCTGGGTATACATCCTCCCACCAAAGACAAATTGATGGATGGATAAAGGAGTGGACAGATGAATATAAGTGATAAAGCAAGTAGAGTAAAATGTTAATGGTAGAATTTAAAAGTGGGATACATAGGTATCACTGTAAAATTCTTTCATAATAAAATGTTGGAAAAAGTAACTTCATCTCACTACACTTAAAGATTTACTAAATTAAGGAAATTGTTAAGTCATTGATCTTAGGGTGTGAAATCAATTTTTGCACATCTGGGAATAAACTGTTTAAAGATAATTCTGTAAGGTCTCAGAGAACATGCAATAAATTACTGGCTTTAGGTGTCTAATGCATTTTTAAAAATCAATTAATCAAATCTATTTGCAAATGCTTCAGATTCCCTGGATAAAAAAACATGAACTCACTGAGACATCTGCCTATATGTGGTCATCAAGGAGGAGCCCCAGACATACTGGCTGCCCAGTGGGGTTGCTGTGCAAACGAATGAGCTTGCAAAGAACTAGCTTCAGAACTAAAATGTGGTCATTTAAGTGGACAGAGAAAATGGTCTCAAGTGTATACTAGTTTTCCCCAGCATTAAACAGAGATAATGAAGGACAGATGAATACAATGTTCTTCTAGCCCTTAAAAAAAAATATGTGTAAGCTACCGCTAGATACCTTTTAATTAAGCACTTATGACCTGGGCATTATAATGTTTTATATAGATTACCTCATTTAATTCTTATACCAACACTGTGAGCTGGGTACAGTTATTATCATCCTCCTTAATAGACGAGAAAACTGAGACTTAGGTTAAATAACTTCCTTAAAGTCACATAGTTATTAGGTGAAACAGACTTCAGGTACAAGTTCTCTATCATTGAGCTATACTTTTAGCATGTTCTTAAGCATTAACAGGCAAAGAATTCTTTTTGTAGTACATTAGCAACTTCAAATATATACATATATGTATTCATATGAATGACTATGTAACATGTCCCAAAAAATGTACACACACTTTAATAGCTGATAACTCACTTAATTTTCACTCCTTTTCAGGTTTAACTGATTTAAAATAATGGGTGAAGCCAGACTAAGCTTTGAACAAAGAAAATTTATCCTAAAGTGCCACTAGACTTTTTTTTAATCAGGATACATAAAAAATAAAGTTTATGATACAAAACTGGCAACAATTGACAAACCAAGGGTGCAAAAATAACAAACAAAATTATTATTATTTTTTATTTCAGAGAGGAATGCAGAGGGAGAGAGAGAAACGTCAATGATGAAAGAGAATCATTGATCGGCTGCCTCCTGCATGCACCCTACTGGGGATTGAGACTGCAACCTGGGCATGTGCCCTTGACTGGAATCGAATCCGGGCCCCTTCAATCTGCAGGCCTACGCTCTATCCACTGAGCCAAACCGGCTAGGGCCAAAATGATTCTTGATGTTTGCGATTCCACTGCTTCATATTATCAGCAGTGCCTGGACCAGAACAGTCATCAGTTTAAAAACAAGCATTGACAAAAAAAGATTATTCATTTTTATAGATTCCTTTAGATTTTGAAAATGAACTGTAGGGTAATAAATACTGACTTTATAATCATTCAAAGTATGCATACATTTTGGGGGGACACCCTGTATATGGGAATATATGAACTGAAATCAATCAATCAGTCAATTAATACAATTACAGTCATGCACTGCATAATGACATTTCAGTCAACATGCCATCCTATATAATAAAGAGGTAATATGCAAATTGACCATCACACCCTCGCACAAGATGGCCACCACAAGATGGCCGGCAGGGGAGGGCAGTTAGGGGCGACCGGGCTAGCAGGGGAGGGCAGTTGGGGGGGACCAGGTCAGTAGGGGAGGGCATTTGGGGGGGACTGGGCCGGCAGGGGAGGGCAGTTGAGGGCGACCGGGCCAACAGGGGAGGGCAGTTGGGAGTGATCGGGCCGGCAGGGGAGCAGTTAGGTGTCGATCAGGCTGGCAGGGGAGTAGTTAGGAGGCGATCAGGCTGGCAGGCAGAAGTGGTTAGGGGCAATCAGGCAGACAGGCAGGCGAGTGGTTGGGAGCCAGCAGTCCCAGATTGTGAGAGGGATGTCCGGCAGTCGGACATCCCCCAAGGGGTCCCAGATTGTAGAGGGTGCAGGCTGGGCTGAGGGACATCCCCCCCCCCAAATTTTGTGCACTGGGCCTCTAGTATATAATAACAAAAGCATAATATGCTAATTAGACTGGACATCCTTCCGGACGAAGCCAGGGCTGCCTGGGAACCGGGTGCTTGCTGGCGGCTGGAGGGAAGCCTGGGTCCGGGGTGCCAGAGAGAAGCTGGTGCCAGCAGCTGGGGGAAGGAAGGCCTACTCTTGCACAAATTTCATGCATCGGGCCCCTAGTATGATTATAACAGAGCTGAAAAATTCCTATCGCCTAGTGATGTTGTAGCTAGCCATCTCATAGTGCAGCTTACTCACATGTTGTGGAGATGCTGGTGTAAACAAACCTACTACGCTGCCAGCTGTATTGCACATACAATTATGTCCAGTATATAATCCTACATAATAAAAGGCTAATATGCAAATTGTCCCCTTGACCGGGAGTTCGACCAGTGGGTGGGGCTGGCTGGCCAACTGCCCACGGCCCCTCCCCCTGGCCAGCTGTATTAGTTTCAGGCAGAAAGAGGACACAATCAAATATATGCTTCAGAAATATAATTCTGGGGCCAGTGTGTAGGATAGTCTGGATAGAAGAGACTCTGTGAACACTGGGATAAGGTTATTCCCTCATAGCTCACAAACACCACAAATATTTGCAGAACTTTATTCATTCTTCAGGAAATTGGTGAGTACTGATCTCTAATTAAAAAAAGGGTACAGTTAAGCCCTTAGCTAGTATGGCTCAATTGATTGGAGTGTAGGCCTGTACACAAAAGGAGGCAGGTTCGATTCCCGGTCAGGGCACATGCCCAGGTTGCAGGTTGGATCCCTAGTCAGGGTGCATGCTAGAAGCAAACTACCAATGTTTTTCTCTCACATCGATGTTTCTCTCTCTCTCTCTCTCTCTCTCTCTCTGTCTCTCCATACAATTGATGAAAAAGCATATCCTCGGGTGAGGACTAAAAAAAAAAAAAAAAAGGTACAGTTAATACTGGATGACATATATGTAAGGAAAAAATTATGCAAAATACTAAAAATCTTAGGGAAAATGACTTACCGTCTCAAAAAAAATTTCCATCATGCGGGCTCTCTTTTCTTCTACACTCAGTCCTTTTTTCTTCGACTAAAGCACAAAATTTAAAAAGTAGACACTGAATTTTTTTAAACACTGCATTTTAAAACAACTTGGTCTGAAACATTATCAGAAATGTTATGTATGATCTTGCCTGGTACCAACAGGCTTGATAACGGTCACAGCCAGGCCTCAAGACTGACTTGAAGTATTCTATGATTATAGGTCAAGCCTTGTGGTAGGTGCTGCCAGTACAGTAAAAACTGTGACTGAGACAGAGCCTGGCATTCTGTATAAATTCATTATTTATCAAATGATCCAGTGGCAAGTCACTGTATTTACCTTCGATAGACTTACAATCTGTCAAAGAAAATACATAGATACAACTATTTATAATTGATGAACAGGAACATGCATGAATTGTTACCCAGAATAGATTGAATTGCTACCCAGGGCAGAATGAGTTCATTCCACTCAGGTAGGGAGGGAGAGTTCACTAGGAAAGTCAGAGATGAGGAGGATTTTGGTGAGTGGAGAAATGGTGAGAAAGGTGTCCAGGGAAGACCATATAGAGGCACAATGTAACAGAAGTACATGGGATATTCCAGAAAGACGCTGGATGATGACTGTATGGCGCATGTACAGAGAGTGGCAGATAGGGTGAGAAAGGTAGTCTGGGCTGATTGTCCAGCCAAAGCGAGCAGACTTTATTCTAGGCAATGAGCAGCTATTGCACATTTTCTAAAGCAGGGAGTGACAGATGAGAATTACATTTTAGCAAGATAGTTGTAGGAGCACTGTGGAGGGTGGGCTGGAGGAAGGAAAACCTATCCAAGTAGAAAATGGAGCCCATGCCAGGTTACTATCATCCTCTGACTATTGTTTAGCCAACCTGAAATTAATATAATATGTAACTAAAATGCATGTTAATAATAAATTTTACTATATATTATTTACACAGTCCAAAATAAAGAGTAAAAAAATAAGCCAAATTTCCTCAATTCACAGAAAATAACAAAAGAGAACGAGAACCATCATCTCTAGTGTTCTAATAGAGGACTCTAATAGAGTTTTCTTAAGAAACTAATGTTTCTTAAGAAACACCTGCATCTTTCTCAAACATTGCACATAAAAAAAAAAGTTTAAAAAGTTATACCACTAAAAATGCAGACATAAATAAAACAACAATTAAAGATCGACCATATGCAACCAAAAACTCCATCAGAAAATGAGAGCCCATGACACATGGGAGGATTTGGAATTGCCATTCTGAATAGGTATATACCAGAGAATGAGTCTTTATTCTATTGCAGGTCCTGGAACCCACCAACTCATCTTCACAGCAATAAATGATCCTGTGCTCCTTGATGAGTCATATGGATAAAATAAATACCTTAAAGTTTGTATTTTTCTCCTTTTCCCCTGTCTACTCTCAAACACTGTGGTTCCCCCAAATTCTCTATCGATGCCCTCTTTTCCTCACACCTTTTCTTTGATCTCATCTGCTTTCACGGTTTTAACTAACACACCGGGTCCTCAAATCATGAGTCCTTGAGTGTGTTCCTGATCTTCGATCTCCTGTGTCTACCTGTCTGCTGGACAGACTTCAAACTCAGGTCTAAACTGAACTCCTCTCCCACGTCAACTCGCCAAACCTGCTGTTGCAGATCTTGAGTTCAGTTAGATACCACCGAGTTGCCCAGGCCGGAACAGCAGCCTGGCAGTTATCCTAGTTTCTTCCTCTTATCCCACAGCCAACGAATCACCAACTTTTCTGCCCATTCAGTGCTTAACTATTTCACAAATCTACAGTCTGCTCCATCCTACCACCTCTACCCCAATTCAGGCCTTCATTCTCTGTCTCCAACACAGCTGCAGTCCCCTAAACACACCTTGCTGCACCTTCGAAGTCCACGTTCTGCACTGTCAAAAGCCTTCAGGGCTCCCAACCATCCGGAAGTCTCCAACACCCTGGAAAGGATGCCCACAGGCCCTCCATCACCTGGTCCCAATCTACTCTCACAGGTACCACTCCTCACCTCAAATTTTACATGAAAACCTGGAGAGCTAAGCAATCTGAGCTGTAATACAAAAAAACTACTTGTAATTCTCCAGAGAATGTTCTTTCCCATTTCAGTGCCTTTAAAAATGTTGTTCTACCTAAAACACCTTCTTCTCTCCCCGATTCGAAACTCCAGAAAGTCTCCCAAGGCTTCAGTTAGGCATTCTCTAACCGAATTTCTCTGAGCTCACGGGTTGGGCTGAGTGTCATTCCACGTGTTCCCAGAATACAACTGCATCATCACATCTTACTACAGTTAAAAAGGTGTGTTTACTGTCTCGGCGGCCTGGAAATCTTCAGAACACGGACTGCCTTTGCCTTTCCAGAGCTCAGTGCCGGGTTAGGCAGAGCAGGCACAAAGGCCAGGCCTTACTTTCAGAACCAAGCATCTAAAAGCTCTTTTACTTAATACTTAAAGTTAAAGAAAATCTCCTGATACTATAAGTGAGAGATGCCTTCAAATTAGTAAATAAGGGGACTCAAAACTTGACTTGAGGACAACAAAGGGACCTTCTCCAACTAGGAGTCACAGAATTCCTAAGGTCAGCCCTGCTGACCAATTACAATAAAATTCTGCAAAACCAAAAGGAGATGATATCTGCCGCCCACCGAAGTGGCAGGATACTCTGCATTTCTCCACCTCCCAAATATACGTCTGGACTTATAACTGTTTACCCAGCAAGCCCGACCAAGTCAAAACAGCTATTAATTCACCATCAGGAAAGAGAAGGAAGGTCATCTTTGATTTTTTTTTAAAAAAATGCTAACTTTAATGCTTAATCATTATCAAAAAATAGGAAGGATAGGGCTTACAAAAAGTTTTCTAATTTGTTTTCATGCGTCTCCATTGTCAGAGGTTAAGCATCTGAAAAGAATTAACTAAGTATTAGGTGATTTATGGGTAGAGAGCGATTGGGTAAAGGGACAAAGTTAACGCATGTGTGATTGTTGTCAGTATTCAGTTCTATGGGGCCAATAACTCTATAGAGAAACGTGATACCACAGAGCCCCGGTAACAGAGTCAAGCGCGGTCCTGTTTGGCTTCTTACATCCTTTCATGCCCAGGTGGCTGGGAGGGTAGTTTAACCACAAAGAGGCCGTTATCAGTTATAATTACATCTGGACAAGAACCTTCACATAAACAGCGTAAACCTAAATCCTTGTCTACCATTAGCTCGGCAAAAAATAACGGCCACTGCACTAAATGAAGATATTAAAATCTTAGGTCTGTTTAATTAGATGTTGATTCTCTGCCAACAGAAGCAGAAAAACAAAAACAAAAAGCCAGCATGAAACTTGGAAGATTTATGCAAATGACTTGATGACCCCCGAAGACATCAAGTTCCCGGAGGACCTGGCGCCCTCCCAGGTGCGTCCCTAAGGAAGCGACCAACTCCCTGCCCACCAGCTGCCCGCGGCCCCAAAGGGAGATGCCTGCCCTTTGGGGAAAAAAACAACTGATTTCCAAAGAAATCATCTGAAGTGAAGAGTCCCTGGGTTATGTATGAAATTGAGAGCAGCTCAGACACGTCCCCTACCCGTTGCGATGCATAAACCCACTCAATGGTCCAAGATCATAAACCCACTCAATGGTCCAAGATCAAGGGCGTCCTGCCGGGTCTGGGGTTCCCCTAAGGCAGCGGTTCTCAACCTGTGGGTCGCCACCCCTTTGGGGGTGGAACGACCCTTTCACAGGGGTCGCCTAAGACCATCGGAAAACACATATAATTACATATTGTTTTTGTGAATAATCACTATGCTTTAATTATGTTCAATTTGTAACAATGAAAATACATCCTGCAGATCAGATATTTACATTACAATTCATAACAGTAGCAAAATTACAGTTATGAAGTAGCAACAAAAAAAAATTTATGGCTGGGGGTCACCACAACATGAGGAACTGTATTAAAGGGTCGGGGCGTTAGGAAGGTGGAGAACCACTGCCCTAAGGGGCTGCACGTAGGGGCCGGCAGGCGGGGAGAGGGGCACCGGTTCGGAAGTGACTCCAGGTCCCGGGGGCAGAGGGTTTGCGATGCTCGGGTCACGCTCCCGAACACGCCGGGGTCTAACCGCACCCGCCCGGGAGACAGCCGCCGGCCGCGGGGTGCAGCGGGGCGGGGTGCAGGCGGGCATCCGTGGCCCCGGGGCGCAGGGGGCGGGGGTCCCGGCGCTGCGCCTCGGCCTCCGGCTCCGCGGGCGGGAGGCAGGTGGGCGGCCTGCGCTCAGGGCCGCGTCGGGCCGGAAAAGGGCGGGGGGGACCAGGTGGCCCCCCGAAGCCCCAGGGGGGCCCTCCCGCAGCCGGGAGACTTGGGGTGGAAGGGGCCCCCGGCGCCGGGCCCTCAGCTCTTACCCATGGCGCAGCCCGGCGTCTTTCCGGGGGGCGGCGGGGGCCGGCGCTGGGAGGCGAGGGGCGGGGGCAAGCCCCAGGGAGGGGTTTGATTTTTGGGGCCAACCCCGCCCCCGGGGGCCGAAGCGACGGATAGAGAAGCGGTGGGCGTGACCGGCCTTCCCCCGAAGCGCGCAGCGACCCCTGGCGGCCGGGCTGGGGCGGGACCTTCTCACTAGACTAGTATCAGGTGTTCGGTGGCGGGATGGCTACCTTCCACAAATTCTAGAACATCCCTTCGCTGCCCTACCTTAGAAAAGAGACTATGTTAAATAAGCAAACATTCACCCTCGAAACGGAGAAAACAAGCTTTATTATAATGATTTGAGATTTTTTTTGTGCATGGTAAAGATAATACGCATGAATCTTGTTTCTCCTATGTTTCAAGACAGAATTAAAGTTTTATTGTACACTAAAAGCATCCAAAATACTGTGGTACGTATGCAGCTACGAACATACAAACACTCCGATGCACAGCGTTTATTCTTTTCTTTAAATAGGCAGTCAGCGTTTTGATTCATAAAAGAACAAATGAGCATACATCAAACAGAATCAACATCAGAGAGCAGGAGGCTCAGTGTTCTATACACAGAACGTCTGAAACAGACCTATACAGATGGAATGTACAAAATTTAAAACGAAAAAAAAAGGAAGCAAAAAAATCTGTTTACTCATACATAGGATTGAAAGGCCAGACTTGAGAACGATATAAAGAATTATATTACAAGAATACGCTCTTGTTAATGACAAAACATTCCGAGTCACAAAGCAAAAGCATTGCGTTTAAGGCTGTGCTGCTTTCAAAGGTTAATGGAAATGCTGTACATTCATTGGAACAACATAGCCAATTTATCGATCGGTTTTAGAATATTAATAGCTTTCATACGTTCTCCACAAACCAACCACACGATCACTGCCACACAATTCATCTTGGGAAAGTTTAAGGTTAACACCATGATTTGTAGCTTACTGTCATTTAAAACAAAACAAAAAAATTATTTATTTATACCAAACAAATCTTTAATGGGCACTTAGTTCCTTTATGGCAATACTAGATTCCTAGTTATCAAAAATATTAAAGTAATTGTAAATTTTAAAACCCTGCAACGTTTAGAGAATGCAACAGTATTACAACTTAGATCATGGTTGCAGCAAATAGCTTTAGTTTTACCCTACCTGGAAAGGTCTTTTTAAAAATTGTTAAACTAAAAATACTCCTTCCTTTTCACGAGCTGGTGAATAGAGAGGATACTGTAGAGTCCAAATGTACAAAAAGGTTTTTCCCATTTGAAGCAATCTACAGATGACCTGACGTGTATTTGGCATTCCCTCCAATTAACTCAGTAGGCACTGCCAAAGCGTTTGTGTGAACCCCTTAATGTTAAGGATCCACAGTCACTTGCTAGTGTACTGCTATTCCAGTTAATTCCATGTTAGGACATACCCTGTATATTTAGTAGAAGAAGCAAGTGTGTTCTAGTTTCATGGACCTGTAGTATTTATTTGCCTCAAATCTAGTCAAGGGATAAATGAAAATAAGGAAACTTGGGGACTTGTTTCGTTACTGGAGATGAACGTTTGAGCAAAATACTAAGTACCACTAAGAAATGGCAAAGTCATAAAGGCTTTTTGTTCATGTGTTTCTGAATGGTCAAGTGATCTTTACCACCCGTGTCCAGCAGGGGAGGTCTGTATTGGGAAGAAATGCATTGTCACTGACCTTTACATTCTAACTGGCATATTTGACCATAGTGCCCAGGGAAATTT